TTCATTTCTAACTAGGTTATCTCAAGTCTACAGATCGATCTGAGTTATTATCGACATCAAAACACTTATAAATATTTGAATTCATATGGACGTAATGATAAGAAAATCTTATTTGAGTTATCATTCGTATCCTTGATTGTGTCAATGCATAATTGATTTCAATTAGTAAATAAGCTTTGATAAATTTGATTTCTTACCATTATATAACAAAGATTAACAAAAACACATCTTGGTTGTTGAATATGTTTATTATTCATGGAAAAAAATTATTTTACGGGCTAACTGTATCTTTTATCGTCTAACCTGGTGAACGGCTATAGAAGAAAGAATATGATCATACTATTCATCTATGTCACTGCATACATAACTTCTCTTCATTCTTCTAATACTGTTTATTTTTTTCAGTAAAATGAATTATTGACTTCATTTCTATTGTTCGCTCTTTCCCATTAGTATCGTTACTCTATTAATTTATTCATTTCGTATATAAAGCAAATGATACTTTCAATTGATTGTTTGTTTTAATTGTTAAAAAAAGTTTAATGATAATTAAAACTAGAAAGATTTATTAGGGAGGCTTAGGTGAGCGAACTAGGTATTAAAACCGATACGTAATCTAGTATAATTAATAAAAAAATAAAAAGATTTCAAAGCATTTAAAGGAGCACATGAATAAAAAGAAGTCAAATTGGAAAAACATTCTAAAAAGAACTGTAGGAAGTAAGATCGGTAAAGAAAATTACATGAATTAAATAGAATAAAATATTTAAAAGACGTGAAGTTAGAAAATACCGTCGTAAGCGACTATTAATCTTATGAGACAGCGAAAAACAGTATCAATACGTCACCGTTTTTCGTAGTCTCGTAATACGATAAAATCAATGACGAAAAAGATAATCATTTGCCAGCGTAAATACGTCCCATAAAACTGAATGATAGAGTTTGGCAAAATACTGAAAATTCATGCAGTATGTATGAGGAATGCACAAGAAATCAAACTTATTCTGGTTTGACCTTCCTTTACAGCTACAAACAATCTGTATCCCATTAGTAGTTTTAGTCCTTTTACTCCCTTCACTCCTCTTAATTCCTTATCCTTCTATTAATATCACTGTTATACTTATTTTTTAGAACGTAAATATTTTGTTTTGCTCGAAATACTCATTTTATCTTGGAGATTTTCGATCATTCGATGTCACCTTTCTCTTATTGGTTTGGAAATTCAACGAGTAAGGTATTTGTTGATTTTTTTATTTTATTCTTTTTGTTTCGAATTCGTTTCTCTCGGAATTCAACATTGCCAATGTCATAAATGTTGTTTAGGCAATATTCATTACAATTAAGCGTGTAAAAAGCTGCAATACTTGTAAACGACATAGTATTTGTCTACAGCTATTCTAACACATTACGTCTTGTATAAAAATCCGCAGTTTTGTATTGAGGATTATTTATTAATATCTGTAGGAAGGTGTGGATGTGTGGGAAGAACAGAATCATATCCACACTAACACTCACACTCAAAACGGTAGACGATGATAAAGAATTGAATGAATTAAAAAGAAGGACCAAGAAGAAGAAGAGAATTTTAAAAAGTAAAGGAACGAAAGAAACGAAAAAGAGTACAGAGACCATAGGCAATTAAAGGACTAAATGGATATTGATGGAAGACAGCTGTAGATGATTTGCTAGACCGAGGTAACTTTCATTTCTTGTAAACCTATAGATCATATCTCAACTCAGGCCTATGACAAATATTTCTTCGATTTTGTATCTTATGACTTTCTCTAATTTTTATTATTTCATGAATAAAAGGCTTCAGACGATTTTCAATATAATACTTGTAATCTACAGGCTTCTCTTTATCTAAAGTATGTATACAAACAATACTATTTTTTTTAAAGAATATGCAAAGCAGTTCCGTGTGATTCAAACTGGGCAACAACTGCCGACAGATCGTTCGATATAATGTGCGCTATTTCAGCGGTATACCGGCATTCAACCGGCGTTAGTTTGAAACTTAAATAGCTGACTATACTCTGACCGCCATTCTGCCATGGTATACTGATTAGATAAGCATTGAACCCGAACGTTCGGGTTCTCTCTTGACTGCAATCATTTTCATTCAATTAATAAAAGGAAGTAGTAGTACGTTAAAACAAAGGATTTTAGGCTTGGCTCTGATAGATCTACATAGAATGAAATAAATGATCCAAAAATCGAAGGTATGCAAGCATACTAAAAAAAAGTCAACAATGTTTAGAAATATCCGAACTCAAACTTAACCGAACCTTAGGGTACTTCTATGATTGTCCATATTCCTCAAGAAATGCCTGGGCAATTACCAAAATATCCGACACTGTCTAAATTGGTTGGATAGTTTCCGAAACTGAATCCCAGTCCGAACACAAACCGTTCGTTCCAAACATCAAGCCTAAGTTCGGATCCGGTGCATGCCTAATACCGATAATTGTTATCTGATCAGTAATCTACTTCAGGTATACCGGTCGTTCTTATGAGTACTGCGGCAACCGGAGGTCGTATGAACAAACATACAACATTAGTTACAATAGAAACTCTTTCTGTAGAAAGCTACGGACAGTGATGTGATGTCATCAATCATTCAAAAACTGAAAAATTAAGAATAATATTCTAAATGAATCATAGATTTTAATAAAAGCAAGAAACAGAAAAAATAATAAATCACTGCGTTTAATCTCAACACAATCATTATAGTAACGACGATTTACGTAATTGAGTTAGAAAACTGTATTGTTGTTGAGTTATTTTTCGTTTGGTTGATGAAGATGAATTTCTTCTTGTCCATCCAATCATCATTGATTTTGGTGATGAAGTCTCTCCTTTATGAGATTCTTTGAATATTGTTGGAGCAAGTAAAGGTGTTGATGATTCTTCTTGAACAACTTTTGTTGAAGGTGGAGATGAACATGTGCATTGACTACTTTCACTTGTACTTGTTGTTGTTGTTACTCCTTGAGGCATAAGATATGATCGAGAAAAACTAGTATAGGGTAAATTACAGGTATTATTTGTTTGATGATATAATTGATGTGAATGATGACAAACTATTGAAGGATGACGATGACGACTCATTGTTAACATGTATTCAGGTATATATTCATATTGATGATTTTGTGGAGTATCTTCATCATTGATAATATTTCCTAATGTTGAACATCGAAGAGCTTCACTTGATTTTAGCATACAATGAGAAGAAGTGCCTTTCATTGGTATTAATTGATGAGAATAATAGTCATCACAACAATTAGATGTGTTAGGTGTACACTAGAAAGATAAAATAAAACATATTATCAAAATGATTTGAATTAATATTATTAGAAATCTTTTCTAATATTTTATCATGTTTTAACTGTTGATTTTTTTTTTTCGTTCTAATATCACTGATTTCAGATTTAATTTAACATGACAGGTAAACTAATTTTATCGTAACGATGATACTTTATTCTACTATTTAAATCTTCGGAATGAACAGAACTATGTATATTATCTAGGTTCTAATGAACTATGAATACCTTGAGAGAAGTTAGAATTAATAGCTCATTGCTATGTAGATGCTGTGTTTTTTAGCAGAATATCATGGTTCTCCTCATGAACACTCGGAAAATTGAATTTCGACTTTCGATTTGAAACTTTGCACAGAGACAGATCTTGACAAGAGTAATTTATTGTGAAAGTTTCAGATTTTTTAATTTCGCCTATTTTGAAATAAGAACGTCTGAATTTGCCATTATATATGAGCAGCATGGAAAAACCATGCTTTTATCATAGTCATATCTTAGGATAAAAGCAATCAAAAGATCTAAAACTTTTACAATAAACTATTCTCATTAAGGTGTGTTTCTATACAAAGTTTCAAGTTGAAATTCGCAATTCAGTTTTCCTAATGTTCGTGAGAGGATAGAGTCCATCGGATTGATCCTGAACTCCAAGTGGGTCGATTCTGCGTCTGAAATTTTTCGATCCGATGGGCTCCAGAGGAAGGCCATGATATTATGCTAAAAATACCGTAACATACAGTATCACGTCAGCAATAAGCTATTTATTCGAACTCTTTTCAGAACATTCATAGCTTATTAGAACTTATATGATGTACATAGTCGCGATTCAAAAGCAAATTTGACACTTAGAAACGCTCTCTTATTTTTTATATCAAAAATTTAAAAATCTCCGATTCGTATTTTTAATGATTTACATAGAAAACTAATTGAGAAAGTTGAACGTTTTAAATTTTCATTTCATCAAGTTGTGAAAAAAAAATTTCATAGAGAAAAAAATTCAGCTGTTATTGATTTTATCGTTAGTGAGTGTCTATTATCAATATCTATATGAGATTGATTGATAAAAAAAGAAAAATAACTGTGTAAAATAATTCACACTTGTCTAAAATCTTTAACATATACATACTTCATTTTCTAAAGTGTTTTTCCTCTTCAACTAATATAATATATTTGACCTTGAATATTTAATCAATTAGAAAGCATTATATTACCTTGTAATGTTCACTTGTTCTAGTACACCCATCAATATGATGATGTCGATGATGACTTCTCGATGTCAATGAACCAGACATAATACAATTTTTATATTGCTTTTCTTCTTTTCTTAATTTTCTAAATTAACAAAAAAAAAACATTTTTTTAGTTTTTTTTTTGTGAGATAAAATCAATAAATATTCATTTATACTTAAGACAAATAAAAATAAATATAGCAATAATAATACACAAAATAACACTAAATACAGCCACAATAAGAAGAAAAATATTTAACCAATTATTTGTTTCTTCATGTTTATGAAGAATTGTTGAAGAAGAAGATGAAATATTAAGAATATTTAATGATGGTCGTACACATTGACCATTTAAAATTTCAATTGTTTGAAAATTTTCAAACAAAGATCCTGGCGGCTTAGGTGGCGGACGTATTGTAAATAATGGTGGTGGAGGAAGACGACGGAAACCATCATTCGTCATCTAAAAAACTGAAATTATCATAATTCAATGTCAAAAACATTATCTTCCACTACTATTAAAAAGCATTTTCATAGAAACAAATCGACAAGCTATAAACTAAACATTGTTATTATCATATACTTAAATAAAATACTGACCTTCATTTTGTTTCATACTATAAAAGAATTTTTATTAAAATGTTACTCAACATAGTAACATCTTTTTAGTTTGAGCAAACAATGAAAAAACAAAGAACAAGAAAATCGATATTTTCTTAGTTAGTACTTTCAATTAAACTTAACTCTGATACTTTTTATTCATACAATAGAATAAATATGACTTTTTTCCTTTCATTGACATTCGATAAGAAGAATACAATTCTTTCTTTTTTTTTTCCTCACGATTACGTATAAGAGAGAAGCAACAAAAAAAAAAAAGAAAAGAACTATTGAATGATCAATGATCAATATACTAGCCCTTATCACTGCACAAGTTCATATTGTTGAAAAGTTCTTGTCATCACATATGAAAGATAATAAAACTAGAGTTCGATGAATATTATGTAAAAATATGAAGAAAGAATATCAATGATTGATTTATTTCTATTGAATCGATAAAAGCAACAAAAAAAAAAAAGAAAAGCAAAAGACTTGTCATTTAAAGCGTACATAAATGTTTTGCCTGAAGGTCATTTCCTTAACATTCACTTATACAATTGAACAATCGTTTATCATCATATGAGTATTAATGTGCATCCTTCAATTAACAACTAATGACATGTGACAACCCTTTCATTAGCACAAGATCAAAATAAGCCAAGGGCATATCAATCGAAACGAAAAATTTATTTCGAATAAACAACGTGATACATAATCTTTATCGTCTATGCTAAGCCGATGGTCGATGCTCAAAGGCACATCTATTTCTCGTTTTTCTTTTTTTATACACATTGATCTAATCCTATTTGTTATTCGATCCACATAGTATAAACTAATGTCTGGACATCTATCGAAAAAAAAACAGCAGAAATGCGAAGAATGAACTCGCCATAATTATGTAATCATCTAATTAGACTAAATGAACTCTTCAACACATCTTATATCATTATTTTGACAAAAAAGAAAAAGAATTCTTACTCTTCGTTATCTTTTCACTAAAAATGAACATACATGCAAACATTAATGTGTAAAGATTTTAATCTCTATCATTTAGTCCATCGATTGGTATATATATAAAAAAATTTACATAAAAGTTATTCAATATTCTTTAAAACTAAAATATTTCTTTTCTTTTTTCATTCAAAGATATTCGAATGATGTAATCAATATAATATAAAATAAACGATAAAGAAGTCATTCAAACATCGGGTTTACAAATAAAAAAACAAATATTTGATTGATGTCTTGTTCTTTAACTATAAACTAATAAATAGTTAATGAACAAATTTATATATTCATTAATAAAACTTACCTGAATTTTTGAAAGTGACATTAAATAATTTCATTGATACTACTCATTATTTTTCCATCATATTCGCTTCATTGAACTTTTTTTTTTATACTTTTGCACATGATTATGCAAAAAAAAAGAGAGGAAAAGAATAATCTGTTGCGCATGTGCACAAAGTTGATGTGTCATGAAGATGATGAAAGGACTCTACATTTAGCCTTGCTCAAATCATCATCTATTTCCTTTAAGATAGGATAGAAAAAAAGAAAAAAGGAAAATGATACACAAAAGTATCCAATGATAATTAAAATCGAAAAGCTTAATAGATAAAAAAAAAAGAAGACGAAGAAGAATTGTCCTTTCTCATACTTCGTTCAATATATCATCTATTTCTCTAATTCAATATTTGTCAAGTAGTAAAAAAAAAAAAAGAAACAGAACACTTTTTTCTATCATCTCTCTCGTTCTACTTTATTATATGGAATTAGTCTCGTTCTCTTCGAGAGAAGGTCAACTCACACATATACGAACAAATAAAAGAGGTCATTCCTTTAAAACAAAAAAAAAATGTCTTTTCATAGAAAGTTGAAAAAATATGGACACCTGTAGTGTCATGTAAGACGATCTTTTTCTTTTACATATATACACACCTTATTATATATATATATGTATGTTGTGGAGTGTAGATCAGTCGAATAGACCATCTAATCTTTCTTTCTCTTTTTTTATACATGTGTTGAACAATGTGAACATATGCTTATGTTTGTGTATCGTGTAGGGTAGAGATTGAACACAGCAGGGAATAACACATACCAATGAATTTAACTTAAAAAGAATCTTTGTTTTCCTTCTATTCAAGAAAAAATTGTCTAACAAAGAATTTTTTTTTTCTTCTATTATGTTTATAATGAAATGAACATGTTTGTTGAACGTGTTAGGTGTTTGACAAATATTGAATGTCGTTCTACCGTATTTTAATTTGATTTTTCTTCAAAGAAGAAAAGTCTCTTTATTCAATAGTATGTAAGCAAAGAAAGATTATGTTTTGTTTTTTTTTTTTATATAGAATAATGTCTAGAACTTCATAATAATTATTCTATTTCTAATTATTGGACTATTTATATGACATTTTTTTTTCTTAGTTGAGTTACGAAAAAAAAATATTGTTATAATTAGTTAATCAAAATGATACATATATTAAATTACGGACAGAACAGCTGGACGATGTCAAGTGAGAATGATGATGAGCTTAAGGCGATGGCGGTTCGAAAAGAAAAAGAAATTGCTTATGTGTCAATGATTCTCATAGGATAAGACGAGATATGTCATCAATATGGACAACTCAATCTCTTGAGGCAACAACTACTAAGAATGTCATTGCTCACGTCATGTGCAGACATAGAGGAATCCTATCAAGAACAATGTCTGTTAAAGAAACAAAAGAACTATGATCTTTGATGAACGAAAGAAAAAATCATTTTGTCAATAATGTTGTGTTTTTGAATTTTTTTTCTATAAAGTTTTATTAACCGAATGATCTTTATAATTGAATTGAATTCATTAAAATAGTTTAAATTTTTTTTTCAATTGTTAATTTATTGAAAAGAAAAAGAGATTTTGTATACAATAAGTCATATCGGAAGTTGTATTCTTTTTCCTTTTTGACAAGTCACTTCAATTGTTTCAGCCTACTATAATAATTTGTTACGTAATTTGATACTTGTTTAATAAGATAAGAAATGAACACATTGAAGTATGTTGCTAAATAACTCTATTCTATTCTATAGAAAATGTGTGAATATTAGTATAGTGCTAAATTATTAAAAGAATTCTTGATCTTCTAATAAATACATGGCCATAATGAGTTATGTTACTTCTATAAACATTATTTTTCGATTCAAATGGATTCTTTTATAGTCAAGTTCGAAAAAGAAAAATATTCAAACAATTGAAGAATTGTGTTACATAAATTTTAATGCATCTTGAAAATCGATTTAAGAGAATATTCTCAAATAACTAACGGGTGGCGTAGATTAAACAGAATAATATTATTTTCTGCTTTTATTTTTAGACACTCAGACACATTTTCAGAAAATTATTCGATAAAGAATTTTTCGCTTTACAAAACTGTTGCACTCGTTTTTCAAATAAGTTCTTTTTGTTGGAGCAAAATTTAAAATGTTAAAATTCATTTAATCGTGCAACTGCAACTGTGAAAACAATAGAAAAACGATGCATATTTTGATATATATTTCAGAAGAAATATTTGCAAGAATAATCATGAAGTAAAAACTGAGAAAAAAGGCCTTGTCTGATAGGATTACATAGTTGTTTACTTTTTCTTTTTATTTTGATACAACTCTGCAACTTAGCAGTCACAACATTTTGTTTAAAATTAAATTCAACATTCGACAGAACGAGAGTGACTATTTTATACACTAAGTCTCACTTTGGAAAACATATTTTCCCAATATGCGTAGAAAAATATTAGTAGATTTTAATTGCAAGTTCTTTTTTGCTCATAAATGATTATAACAGGAACCTTGAAAAGTTTGTAGAAGTGAAAAGCACAAAATTCCCTATATCTCGATGTTAATCACGTTATTTCTTTTTATTAGTCGTCGTGAGCAAAAGATTTATACAAATTGATAGAAATATGCAGAAAATTGAAAATAGCGGTGAAACAATTGAACAAGCGTTTTTATCTTAAACTTTGCTCCAACACGAAAAATTTATTTGAAAAACAAACGAAACAATTTTGATGAGCAAAAAATTCTCTATAAAATGATTTTCTTATAGTATATTGAAATGACCCCAAAAAAGAAAATAATATTATCCCATTTAATCTGCATGATGAATTAAATGTCAGAATTATCGTAGTTCTTCACATAATCAAACTAATGATATATTTTAATATGAATTTTGAATTAACCAATAAGAATCCATATGAATCTGTCTAGACTAATTTTTAGACATAGTATTTTGTTTCTAGCTGATTAACTTTGAATTTGTGAAAACTTTTAAATCAATATATGAAATGAATGAATGTAAATTCTTGATTGTGACCAAATATAGAGAACAAGTGAACTAATAGATAAAATGTTTCATATGGCTTTCTTACTAACTACCAATGTTTATAATATAGTTGTCTTAAAATATAATAGTTAACTTAATTAGATTTACAATAGAATTTAAAATTTTCTTTTCTTTTTACTGTTTAAATCATCATCATGAAAATTAAAATATTGTGCTTTGTTAACAAAACATGGTTATTAAGGGTACATTCTCCTCTTTCGTCATCCAACATTGTTGATTTTTTTTGTGGTCATTGTATAGTCTGAAGTAGTACCTATTTACTGCGTACATTTTTGGATCCAAAAATTGTCTTTAAACGTTAAAAATTTTAAATTTACGTAACGCAAAAAGCGAAAACTATATATTGTTTCTCTTTTTTCTCAAACCAACTTTCTCATGAAAACAAAAAAAAAGAGCAAAAATGCTTCCGTTTCTGCGGCCTAATATGTCCGATCGAGTTGAAACTTTTTCACATATATTATACACTGTTTGGGATG